TCAACTGAAAAGTTTTCTTAAGGAATGTTTAAGGGTTTCTTACAATAATTATGACGTGTTAAGTGAAAAAGTCAATTAAAATGATAAATATTGATGGAGGAGAAAGACCACATTATACCTATTGTGGGATCATGAATCAATAAATTATCCACTGAGAGTGGTGGTGCACGCCTTTAATCCCAGCACTCGGGAGGCAGAGGTAGGCGGATCTCTGAGTTTGAGACCAGCCTGGCTTGCACACTGAATTCCAGGCCAACGGAGCTGTACAATGAGACCTGTCTCAAAAACAAACAAGCAAGCAAAGAACAGCAACAAAATACCAAAAACCCAACAACAGCAAAATAATTTAATTATCCTATTTATAGTTTTCTTGCAATTTTAAATTCCATCTAATGAACTACTTTTGGAAGAAAAAGAAGCTAATCCTTATTATCTTACAGGTCACAGAGTGTCAGAGAACAAAAACACCCTGGAGGCTTGGGAGTCATTTAGTCCTTGAAGAATCTGGTCATGAAGACTAAGGCGAGGGAAATCTAATTTTTAAGCTGGCACTGTCCACTATGGCAAACGTTTCTCCTCTGTCCTCAGCACATTCTCATCAGCACTGCTGGGGCAGGGTGTGTCAAGGACTGAGACGGTCCCGTTAACAACAATGAAAACCTGGCTGGGGTGGGAGCGCTGGAGTCAGGGTGGCTGCTCGCACTGGAAGTTGAGCACAATCAACACTCGTCGTCTTTGCGAAGTGCTCCACAGCCACAGGTCTTTGTGCCTCCCACACTGCATGGGATGCGTTACAGAACCATCCCATCATCCCTGAACGTTCCATGCAACAGCACTGTCCCAAACATTCTGCCTCAGGCCTGAGAGACTCTTTGTGCTCATCTCTTGGTATACCTCTTCCTATTCGCCATGCTCTAGCCATAGAGATCGACAGCTGTCTAGGTCTCCTATCTAAGGGAAATGTACCACCCAGTCACCGCACAACATTTAGAACTTTCTTGGCAGATGCCCAGATACTGACCACACAGACCTAAGCCTAGGGTTCAAGAAGAACTTTCAAAAAGAATTGATGAGCAGTTCTCCAGCCTGAAGGAGGAGTAACCAGCCCACCAGACTTTGCGATGGGCCAGGCGGGAGCCAGTTCTGGGGATGATGGAGCAGGTCCCAGTGAAGCTCTGGTCTCTGTCCTCATCACTCTCATCAGAACTGCTGGAACAGGGTGTGTCAAGGATGGAGTCTGAGAAAGGCCAATTAAGGGCATCACACCTTCCATTAAGGATCTTAGTGGTTTGCTTTGTGTCTTAGCAAATGAACTCTCTTATTCACCTCACTGGAGGTTAGAGTCCCACATCTTTTCCCTCTCCCTGTCCCTTCCCATGCTATGCTGGAAAACCGCTCAGGGGTGCCAGCAGCAATAGGCCAGCGGGAAGGGGGCTGGCTTCGGGATACCCTTCCTAAAACCATGATTACAAAATGATGATGAAAATCTGGCCGCGATGGCGGTGCTGGAGTCATCCTGAAAGGAATAAGTCCACCTGGAAGAAGGAGACCCACTTCAAGTTACAGGAATGCCTTGGAGGTGGGGGTAAGCGGGGCATGGGCACCGGCGGCATCAGCCGCAGCGGGAAGGGCGTGTCCGGCAGCAGCCAAGCTTCACCTAGGGCCGAGCTGGCTCCTTAGGAGGGCGCCAGTTAAGGAAGGTAGGGCCAGGAGGGGCACGGACACCCTGGAGAAAGAGAAGGGACCTAGGAACTCTGCAAGGTACCCCCCAACCCCAGCCAGAGATGGGCGGGGTCAGAGGCAGCAGGTGTCCAGGCACCTGGGGTGCGAGCATGGCTTACAGAGAGCTAGAGGCGCCTTAAGAGTGTCCTTTGGGGGGCTTGGGGGTTCCGACCTTGTCCTTGAGCATTAGAGGCGGGCAGGACGCGTTCTCCACAGCCCGAGACCTCCCTGAGGCGTGGTGTGCAGGGCCTGTCACAGGGCCGAGGCTTCGGACGTCCACAGCATCTGCTGGCCGGACACAGGTCCCCAGCCCTCCCGCTGGGCACTCCCTCAGCGTGGCCCGGCTCTCTGTCAGGCTGCGCGCCGACTCCCTCCCACGCCGCGGCCTCACCACGCTCTGTCCCCTCACACCGCCACCCCCCACGTGGCCTGCTCCCCGCTCCCGCCTCTCGAGGCTGCACCCCTCCCCGGCCACGGTACCTGGGACTCTCAAAGCTGCACCCCCTGCGCCGCAGCGCCGCCCTCTTCTGCCGCAGGAGCGCAGCAGCGGCCCCGCCGGGCTCCGGCTCCATCGCCCCGGGCGGGGGCCGACGGCTCGGGCACACTCGGGTGGGCTCGGGCCTCGGCGGTGTTCGGCCGGACGCTCAGCTAGCGCGCCGCAGCCCACGCCCCGCCCCGCACTCCTTGCCGGGCCCAAGCCCCGCCCCTGTCCTGCCCCAAACTCCAGCCCAGCTCGGGACCTCAGGCCCCGCCCCGAACGCCAGCCTAACCACTCCCTCACACTCCCGCGGGGGCTAGGCCCCGCCCCTACTCTAGCTGGTCCCCTCACCGTGCCTCCGGCTCTAGGCCCCGCCCCTACTCCAGCAGGTCCCCACCACCGCCACGCCTCGGGCTTTAGGCCTCGCCTCTGCCCCGCCCCTCCTGCTCTAAAGCCCGGCCCCTAGCCGCGCCGAGCCCGCCTCATTTCACTGGAGCTAGCCTCAGGCCCCGCCCCGATCGCCAATGGAGCCCCGCCCTTTGATCCTACTTGAGGCTTTGGCCCCGCCCCGGCCTCGCCCCTAATCTAGCAGATCCTCTCACCTCTCAGTTGGTCTCAGGCCCCACCCCCGCCCCGCCCATCTCATGAGTTGGACTCAGGCCCCGCCCCTGTCCCGCCTTTGCCCCGCCCCAATCAAGCAGGTCCCTGCTCAGCGGGGCTCAGGCTCCACCCACGCCCCGCCCCAAGTTCCAATCCAGGAGGCTCCCTTACCTGTTTTTGGTTTCAGACCCCACCCCAAACCCCAATCTAGTCAGTCCCTTTGCCCTTCAGCTTTACCAAGACCCCGCCCCATTTCCTAGCCCAACCCACCCCACGCCCTAGTCTGGGCACAGGCTCCGCCCCTAACTTCCGTTCTCCGTGTCCCCGGTCCTCCACGGACCAGTGCAGACCCCACCCTGCCTCCGCCCTGCGCTCCAGCCACGCCCCTCCCGCTCCAGCATCCCGGAGATCCTCCAGCCTGCCCGCCGTGCTTCTGTGTAGCGCACACAGGCCCCCAGAGCCCACCGGCTCCTCCACTTCGTCAGGCTCCACGGTCCACCGCTCCTGCTCCTCACCATCCCCACAGACCCAGGCCCTGCTCGCCTACCCCGGCGCCACAGAGCGCCCTGACGGCCCTCCACACCACAGCTCTGCCAGCTGGCTTCTCCGCCGACCCTCCTCACCTCAGCGCCTCCTGGTCCTTTCCATCGTAGCACCGCCCTCTTTTGGGGGCCGCCCTTCTCCACGTCCCGCCCACAGGCATGGCCCCGACCCAGAAGCTCAACCTCTTCTCCCCTGAAGCCGGGGTCTGTACTTGCTGCAGTTCTGCGTCTCTAGACCCTTGGCAATTCTGCCCCAGCAGCTCCCTAGCTGCCCTGCCTACAGCAATGCTCCGCCCACCTATCGCCGCCTACGTCGCCTCTTCTCACTTCAGCTGGTGCCTGGATGATGCGGGTCTTCCTGGCTGGACTGACGGTCCACCATGAGGTTTACACTACCTCAGGATCCAGCCAGCAAAAGGAGGCGCTGCTGTTTCCTGGTGGCCGTTTGTGGTGTCTGACACAGTGAGGCTGAGGGGGCTGGAGCTTTGCTGGCTACCAGTCGCGGGGTTCAGGTTTTCATTCATCATCTTCCAACTTTGTGACCCACCCCTCCCCCATTTCCTCCCGAGTCAGAGACATCATCTTAGGGCCCTTGAACACTGATGCACTGTGCTGGGGGCAGGAACTCACTGAGTCAAACTCAGGATGACTTTTGCCATCTTTTCTGTTGCTGTGATAGACACAATGACCAAAAGCACCTTAGGGAAGAAAGGGTTTATTGGGAAGCCAGAGCAGGAACTCAAGGCAGGAACTGAATCAGGAACTATGGAGGATCAAAGCTTTCTGGCTTGCTCATCTACTTTTCTTATCCAGCCCAGACCCACCTGTCTGGGGATAGCACCACCAACAGTGGGCTGGACCCTCCCACAGCAAAAACAAAACAAAACAAAACAACCAAAAAGCAAAACTACAAACTTGTCCATAGGCTGATCTGAGAGAGGAACTGGCTTAGTTGAGTTCCTCTTCCCAGGTATAGTCTGGGTTTGTGTTAAGTCGTGCATCCCGAGGTTCTGGTCTCCCTTGATGCTGCACAAGCAGAGACTGGAAAGGGCATGGGTGTGTGCGCCTGCGGAGTTGCCACTGGAATCCACAGTTCTCTAGTTTATGATCGATCTCTCTCTCTTGCACACACACACACACACACACACACACACACACACACACTTTCTACTCCTTTCTACTTCTTAGTCCTTGCCACAAGTTACTACTAGACAGCCTTATTTCATATCCTTTCCTTTTCCTCTAATAAAATGGAGTGGGTTTGCTTTTTGCTAGCATCATGACTTCCTCCTAACCTATCTTTTCAGACTTAGATCTCATGGTGACTGGAATCCTCCCTCAGTAAGCTCAGGTTGCCTGCTTTTTTCCCATGTGCACCTGCCCTCTGTCTCCCTGACCTTCCACCCCCTACTCAGGGCCTCCATGTTCTGCAACCTCTGATCTGAAACTCCCAAAGCCCCCGTCCTCTTAGGTGTCCCCAGACCCTTTGCCCTCTTCTCTGAGAGACCCACAACATTGTCCCTGTCCCTTTGCCTCTTACATATTTGCTAATTACTCTCAGCTGAGCCCTGGACAGTGTATACCTCCTCCATGTCTGTGTGTGGCCCAGCAACTGGCTGCCAAAGTAACTTCATGTGACTCTAATAAATGGAACGATATTCATTGGAAAACACATTTAATTTCAAAGTAAACAAATATGTCTGTACATTAAAGTATTTAATTAGTGAAACAGTTATTATCAGTGTAACAAGCTGAAAAATACAGCAACTTGATACAAGACTGAGGTAACAAAATACTTCACCAAAAATCTAAAGAATCCCAAGGAGGGATGATGTTCAGTGGTTATTGCAGATGAGACAGTTTACAGACAGCAGAGAAAGTCCTTACACAACTGCATGCAGGGTCTGCTGGGGGAAAGACAGCTTGGGAGGATGCAGCATATTTAACAAGAAACAAACTAAGATGTAGAAACTCATTTCCAGTTTACTTGGAAGAACACATAAAGAAACTGAAAACTACTCTCTATGCAACATTTTCAATGCTAAGTGGGAAACCATGCATTTTGGCACAAAATTTATTAAAGATTATACCTCACTAATAAATGAATTACTATTATTTAATTACTGAATAATGGTCACAGTCCTTCCAAAGTAGGCAGATGATCTATCACCTTGCTGCTCTGAGTGGGAATTTGGGGCTGTCCACGGGACACATACTTGAGCAGCAGCAGGTTACAAGGTGGATGGAAGTCCAAGTCCAAGTTCTCAGCTCCCAAGGACATGTGGCTCCCACTGTGTTTGAACTTAACACTGAAGTTAAAGACTAGAAGCGGGGAACCCGTGAATACTGCAAGCATTCAGACCCTACTCTCACTCTGCTCTTTTGGGGTTCTCCCGTAACCATTCTTGAACACAGCTCTGTACCTGGCTGCTCAGAGCCAGTTAGCCTCCAGTACGGGAGGTGGTACTCCAGCTAGTCCTCAATGCATCTGACTCTCACAGAAATCCCATGCAGTTTGTTTGGGCCTTCTGAAGTCTTTTCTAGAAGAACCAATGCACAGGATTTGTATTCTGGGGTAGTGGAGAGCAGAGTCTTGCCAAAGCTGGTGTGTGAGGTGGGGATTATTTGTTCACTGACTGGTAAGTTCTACAAAGGGCCAAAATTGGATTTGTCTTGTTTCTAGCCATTTTCATTCTGGGTAGAGCCTGGTGTACAGGAAGATATGAATGAATGTTTATGCAATAAATACAATTTCAAAGGGGGTTTCTGCTGTGTTTTTTCTTCATTTTTATAACATGAAATCACCCAACATATCAATATGACATAGGGCCAATTTAAGGGTCACACAAAAGGGAGGCTGTGGTTTTCGCAATATTCAATAGCGGTTGCAAGCATCCACAATGTTGGTGCAGAGCTCTGGAACCCACTTGAAGAATAAAGCAGCCTTGGCTTATAAATGGCTTCCCAGTTTTACAGATCAGTTTCTATCTGAAAAGTGATATAAAACAAACCACTTTTCTTAGGCTTGGGAGGTAAAGTGATGGGAGAAACACTGGCCATCTTGGTAAGAAGGACAAACAGAGAGACCCGACCGGCAAGACAAGGCAGGTCCTTCAACAATTCTGTTGTGTCCACTCGCTCAGCATCCCAGTCTGGCAAGTGCCCCATGGAATCTGGTCTGGGAAGGGGAGGGGGAGGGACCACACTCTCTCAGTGGCACGTTTAGGGCCATGTTTCTGCTGCTTTCCACCAAATCTAGTCTCCACAAGGCATTCTGCTTGCCAGGATGCACTTGGCTGACCTTGAGCTACAAAACTCATACACTGGAAAAGGACAGAAGTTACTCCCATCGTGAGTGAGTGGTTCTTGGAACGTGACAATACCCCCAGCTGTCCCTCCCAGCTTCTCGACAGCATTCTACAGCTCCCACTTTGGGGGTGCCACGTCTGTCTGCATGACAGTGTGTGACTTAACAACTCCAGCAGCTCCATAGTATTTGTCTACTATGGACAGTCGAGCAAACTACAGAACTGCCTCCTCCAAGGCTAAGAGTCCACCAAAGGACTTCTGCCTCTGTCACTTGACCTGGCCACCTCCCCTGCAGCCTGTGGGACAAGCCAGCACTGGGGCCACCAGCACTGAATGGCCTTGCTTGAGAATCAAATCTTTTAACTCTATCTCCAGAGCTCTTCTGTCACCTTCAAGGCTCTCCAGAGTCCTTCAAGGTTTTTTACTAACGAAGTCCAAACAGTTTCTTCAAGAGTCCATGGTGAGGGTGCTTCTGGGAGGGAAGTCTGGTTTTCAATCAGGGAGGAGATTAGACACTTTGAAAATAATTGTGATTGTGCTCTTTCAGATTAGGCCCAAAAGAAAACACTTGTGTTGGGTAAGACAGATCTGTAAAGGGCAGAAAGTTATCTGAGTGGAGACTGAAATTCTGGGGCTTTTGATGTCTGGTATTTCATGTGTGAAAACCCAAAAGAAGCTGAAGAGTGGAGAGGCCTACAAGAAACCAGTAGCTGATGCTCTGGTCTTGCAATTTCATCCAGGCTTCTGACTTTTTAGAAGTTAACAGGCAGACTCAGGGTTGATGTAGGTTAAAGTGTGACCATGGCGTGGTTCTGGTCGGAGGTGTCTGCAGGGTTTGGTATTGTCATTCTCCTAGATTCTAACTGGAAGAGATGTTGGTAGAATCTGGTGAACACACCTGGACCCCTGGTGTGGATAGATATGCAAGGCAGCTGTGGTCAAGTTTTGATGGCATTGACTTTACCACCTGGAGCTTCTCTTGGCATGAAAATATCCAGGCTCTGTTCACAGGACGTTTAGCTTCAGAATCAGCAAGGCTTGACCAAAATGGACCGCCATGGTAACAACAACTTGCCCTACCAAGTCATTAACATTCTTAGAGAGGTGTCACCATTTGGTTGTAATACAGTGGTGGGTTTTCTGGTGGTTAGTTCATGGTTATGATGTTGTTTGAAACTTCTTGATTATTGTTGGAAGTTCTTTTGGATGGTTTGATAATTGGTTACTGTGTAAAACCCTGATACCCAGAAGGACTCAGAAATTCAGCCTTTTCCAGAAAATTGTTTGAGGGTTTGCTCCCCAGGTTAGAGTACCCAGATCAAGGAGGAAGAGGAAAAGGGACAAAGGGCATCTATGATGATAAAGGGCTTGAATTAAAATGTGCAAAATGGGAGTCGCCTTATGGATGACAAAAGGATGGATATAGGTCCTTGTCCATGAATACAGAGCTGGAGATCTTACTCCCTAGGACATGGCTGTCTTGTCACCTGGCCATCAACAACTGGGCCCTTGGACTTGGAGAACATGCTGGTGACTACATTTAGGGGCAAGACTGAGGGGGCTTAAGGCCTCCATGTCACTCAGCTCCCTGTGTGATCAGGAATCGTTGTGGCCGGCCCTGGCAGTGGTGGTAAAGGATGAGAAGACAGGAGCAAAGTTCTGCCCTGTGGGAGAATCTGGGGTGGTGGAGCTCCTATATGACTGACCACTGATCACTGGGGGGGCTCCACGCTGCTGGGAGAAAGGCCACAACTTCCCACATCAGCGTGGTGGGAGTGGGCGAGATGAGAAAGGCTGTAGGCCCCCCAGGGGAGCTCATGGAGGGAGCAAGCAGGCCCGTGCCCAGTCCACAGTCCTGAGACTGATTCTGCCTCAGGCTGACAACGACAAGACCTAGGAGGGCCTGGGGCCCAGGGAACAGGCCATCCAGATGAATAGCACCCATAGAACAGAAAACAAGACACGATTTAAGGCATTGTTTGTTTACAGTAAAAGAACTCAAGGGACCGTTAACATGGAGCTTCTGGACTCCCTTCAGACTTTTCCTAGAGGACAAGGCTGGAACTAAAGCTTCAAGCAGGGCCTCAAAGCCAGTAAGTGTGTGATGTCACAAGTCTTGTGCCAAAATGTATGTTTCTCAGAGAGCTCACACTCACTCGCTCACACACACACATGTATGGCACGCACACGCAGAGGATGCTTTTGGGGTATACAAAATCTGAGGCGGCTCTGGTTGAGCGGCCCGTGCACTTGGGGTGTAAGCAGCCTGTCCAGCAGCCGTCTCCACTCTCCAGCCCTCTGAAGGTTAACGCCATCCACTCTGTGTGCAGCAGAAAGCATGGAGAACCCAGCGTGGGTCAGATGCTCCCTTGGTGCAGAAGCAGCTGGTGGACAGACGATGGCCCAGAGAGGGGGCGTAGGGTGCGCAGTTTGGGGTCTGACAACCCCCCGTGGGGTGGAGCTGCAGGATGAGTCATGAGAGTTGCTGTGGGTTGACAGGTGGATCTCACACTGGGGAGCCATCCAGGACTGTGAGGCTGCAGGCCATGTTCCTCGAGTCCAGCTATGAGGCTCCAGTGCTTTGGCCCACAGCTTATGCCCAGAGCTGCTCTCCTCCACCAGACCTAGTCCAGGCTCCCAGGAGCCTTTGAAGTCACGCCAAGTCCTGCAGGTACTTATTCAAATGACATAAGGTTTGCAGGTACCTAAAAGAGAAAGCTCACCTGCTTGTCAAAGTTTCAACCCCCAGAAAGGGGCAGGGGTAGTTCCTGAGGTTAGGGCCATGTGGAGGGATGAACATGGCAATGTCAGCTGCCACTGAGGAAAGACTGCCATGTGCCAGGCATTACTTGACTACTTCCTATGTACTGTCTTGAGTCCCCACGTGAACCCTGTTAGGCAGATGCTCGAAGTGTCCCCATTATGGCAATGAGGAAACCAAGGCTTAGACAGGCTAAACATAAAGTGAGTGAGAACCAGGCGAGATCTGAACCCATGAACCACCACTATTCTCTGAGCCAAAGACAACTAACTGGGCTTCTTGGGCTGTGGAGGATGGGATCTGATGAAGTAGGGTGAATGTTGGGAAAAGCAGCCTAGGAGTGGAGGACGTCATTAAGGAATGGTAGGGAGTGGCACAGGAGGAGGAGAAAGTATGGGGAGATCATGAACCCCAATATCTTCTCCCAGAGGCTACCAGCCCCATTGTCAGAGTATTTCCCTGCCTTCATAGCTGCCTGCAGACCCTCAGCTCTGAGCTTTCTCCCTCAGCACTACTGGAGTGTTCTAGGGTTAACTAGACATACCTTCACGAAAAACAAACCCATCTTGGTGTCAGTTTCGCCAAAACAAGAAATCAGAAAAAGACACATCTCCGCACCAGGAGGCAGTTCCAAGAAAGTCCATAGCCTCAAAACTCATGGGAGCAAGAAACGGGGAATTGGTTCTGAGATGGTCGGCTGAACCGACGGAGAAAGTGGTACAGAGTGACCTGTAGCCACGTGTGCCAGCACTGCTCAGCCTGAAGAGTAGCGCCGAGGAGCGAGAAGCAGGAAGGGACACACGGGCACGGCTCTACTATGACGGGGTTTTTAAAGCTGTGAAGGAGGCCTGGGGTGTAGCTCCGTGGTAGAGCACTTGCCTAGCAGGTGAGCCCTGGATTTCCTCCCCAGGAATAAAGTGCAGCAGGGATGTAACACGTTAGGAGAGGAAAAAGATTATAGGGAGGGAGAGACTTACTTTGGGGGGAGAGGAAGGTTTCAGGACCTGTTTGGGGCTCTAGGTTGGGGGTGGGGACAGGGTATATGGGTGTTTGTAGCTCAGGCTGGCCCTATGATCTTCCTGCCTCAGCCTCCTGAGTGTCCCCACACCTAGCTCTACTGCTGTGGTTTGTATCTCACACATACATTGTAAACAAGCTTAAGGAGATTCGGTGTCAGAAAAAACAACTTTAAGATGTGCAAACAGAAACACAGCTCATCGCAGACTCCATGTGGGAGGCTGCAGCTCTCTCTCCTGCCCTCCCTGGCTCCTCTCTCGGGCGCACAGCGACTGTTTCTCTGCTGTTGTTCTTGTTGTGGTGGTTTTCCAAGAAAGAGTTTCTTTGTGTAGATCAGGCTGGCCTCAAACTCACAAAAATCTGCCACCTCTGCCTCCCCAGTGCTGGGGATTAAAGGCGTGCGCCACCACTTGGGTCAAAGTGACTGATCTAAATAAGCCTCTACCATTGAGTACTGAAGTTGTCTCCATATTTTATACATCACAGAGTGTGACTATTTGGTGAAAAGCAGATTGAAAATAAAAGGAAACAAGGTATAAAAAGAAAATCCTTCTTTTCCTAGGTCTGAAAATCGGACACAGATCCATGGCAGAACTTTGCCAGTGCATGAAATCCTACCTCTGAGTCCTCCGGACCGCAGGCCAGTCCGCCACACGGATCTGCTGTCCTTCCTTGCTGCTCTTACTCTCCTGAGTGCATCCTCACTCAGGCCCCCCTTGCTGCTCCTGGCTGAGGCAGTCTCTTTCCCGCCAGGTACCGACCTCAGGGTTGGAAGGTGAGCCTGAGTCACATGACCTCTTGTACATGGGTTCTGGGGCCTCCCACATGTGGCTGGTGGGCTTCAGTGTGCTGTGCTAGCTCAGGTATGGTAAGGGAGCCCAGGGCTGATGAGGCCAGAATGAAAGGTCCAGCTTTTCCTCATGGCAAAGCTTGCTGCAGCAGCAGCCGCCTCCATCAAGCTTCGGCCTCTTGTTCCCCTTGGTTGCCTTGAGATGGCAGTGGGCCCAAGTCACAGGCCCTTCCATCAGAGAGATGGGTAGTGACACTGACTTAACATGTAGAATATAAGTAAGCTGGGCTCTGTGGCAGAGCGATTAGCTGGCATGCTTGAGGCCCCGGTTCAGCCTCCAGCACTGAAAAAGACTGTCTGTCTGTCTATTCATCTATCTCATAGGTAAGTGTATATATGTAAGCACTCTAAAACTAGAGAATTCTACTTTCTTGTATGTCGTTGCAGTAATTTTACAGGAATGTGCTCATATACATACGATCCACACAAACTTAAAAACAAAGGGATCATCCTTGCCTATGGCAATGCCTTTTGGAACTCCGTAGATGCTCGACTATCTGGCTGATGGCTATCTGGTGTTGCTCAGGGATCTCTGGCAGGCTGGAGGTCTCTGGTGTTTCTGTTATGGACAGTACCACGACGAGCGCGCTTTAGCATATAGTCGTAAGGACAGAGGTGAGTGAGCCAAAGTACTCGAGTGTAGTTTACGGACGGGGTGAGCGTGTCCCACAGTCCCACAAGTGAGCCTAAGTACTCGAGTGTAGTTTACGGACGGGGTGAGC